CATCACAAGCCAGCAAAACATCCACGAAACAAAGAAAGGTCTGTCACAGCCAAAAAATACACTCCAGACACGCCGCTGGCACTAGAGGCACAGTAATGAAAAATAAGATATATATGTATTTTTTTATGGACTTTCTTTTTCTGATCTGCAAACGAGAATTTGGAAGCCGCAGGTTCCCCTACGGCTACCTTGTTACGACTTCACCTCAGTCACTGATTCTACCGTGATAGTCTCTATGATCAACGATGCGAAAAACATGCTGCGCACTTGACGTGCGTAACGTATTGAAGTCATTGGTTTATCACAGAGACGATTTCGGGCAAAAGAAATTCCCATGGTGTGACGGGCGGTGTGTACAAGGCCTGAGTACATATTCACCGCGGCATGCTGATCCGCGATTACTGGCGATTCCAACTTCATGTTCTCGAGTTGCAGAGAACAATCCGAACTGAGGCAATGTTTCAGGATTCGCTCCGCCTTAAAGCCTTGCTTCCTATTGTCATTGCCATTGTAGCACGTGTGTAGCCCAGCCCATAAGGGCCATGCGGACACACATATATATTCTTCTAGATTTGGTCTTTTGTCCAAAGGTGTTGATGGCAGACAGTCAAATAGCAAAAGTGTGTGCAGGAAGGAGCAACCAAGCAGCATTTGAAAGTACCAACAAAACGGTAATTAGAACCAAGAAAAAACGAAGGAACAACAACCCCCCCCAAAAAAAGTAACAACAAAGACACTTAAATTGAATCAAATAAATAAAAAATGGGACCCAATAACAACATGGGAGTTTGAAACCAGAAAAAAAAAGAAGACGACGAATCGACGATGAATGGAAGAACCAAAGCAATACATGCAACAACAACAACAATAAAGGCAGGGAAATTTGGGAAACAATAAGAGCAAAGGCATGCCGTTTCCATTGCCGTTATGCGAAAAATTGAGATTGACTACTGACATTTTCATCACTCAGGATTAGTTGCCGTTTCGACTGAAGGCAGACCTTCATGTCCTGCAACTTCTGCTCTAGGTTCCGGATTCTGTCGCTTATCGAGTCCGCTGGGATGTCACCAATCTGTCCTTCGTCGTACCCCTGCTGATTAAATGACGTAAAGGGCGGTGAGGAAGGTGGATACGACGTCCCATTCCTTCGATACCCCTTCTCCTCGAAGACCCCACCTACATTTGCACGGTCACGATCACGACCACCATTATCGAAACTGTAATTGGTGCTTTGATAACCCCTCTGTTCATGCTTCTGACCCCGCTTCCCTACCTCGCCTTCTTCTCCTTCTCTCTCCTCTTTCCTTCTCCATAGCTCTTCCTGTGCATCTTGTCGGTTCCCATCGAATCCCCTTCGTCTACCCCCCCTTTCTTCCATTTCTCTGCCAGTTCCCACAACCTTCCGCTCCTCAGAATTTACACCCCTTCCTTTTTCCGGATACCCCCCCCGCTTTCTGCCCTGCTGCTGCCTTGCGTCTCGACCGCCATCTCGTCCTCCTCTCTCATCAGGAGGGGTAGGTGTCAAGCCACCTCCACCGCCATGACCACCACCATAGGCCGAAGCAGCCGCCGGTGGCCTTGATTCCGGCCTGAGTTCCCTGAAATGAGCAGTTTGATAATTCTGGGGAGAAGATTGAGATCTTTTGCCAGCAGCACTCGCAGATCGTTCAGCGCTGTCCCATGACCTGTTGACTATTCTGTCTGCGGCAACTCGGCCGCCTCTCGTCGCTGCTGCTGAGGTGTCACTTCTCTGCATGCCAGCAAACGCCATACATTCCATTTCACACAGAAAAAGCAAAGGATCTGTGTGCAAGTGAGGTCTATAGCTAAGCACCGGAGGCACCCCAAATGTCATTGAAATTTCACATCAAATCATTAACCAAACCAAAACAAAAAGAGCAGCGGAAGATATTTGGCTGAGAAACAAAAAAAAAGAGCAAGCTGGGCAAGCCTTGGCTTGCTGAGTCCCTTATATGGAAACAGCTAATTTCGGGATTCCCTCTCAAAAACTTGCCCCCAGGTAAGTGCAGTCCGGAGTGCCCAGAGGCATCTCTATCTCAGTCAATGCAGGAGGAGCTGACTCACTTATGGAAACAGCGATTGCACCGATCAAAGCTCCGGGAATTATTTCATGTAAATCTGTGCCCTCTCGAAAAGAACTACCGGCGTCTCCCGAACACAATGCACCCTCATTATGACTGTATCGGCCCGGAAAGATAGCTTGTAGACATTCATTAACGGGGTGCGTTGTGTTTGGGGGAAGACGGTAATGCCTCCTTGCTCTGGATCCGATGTCATCTTGCAGTTCCTAAGAAGAAAAGAAAAAGAAAAAGAAAAGAAAAAGAAAAGAAAAAGAAAAGAAAAAGAAAAGAAAAAAAAAAGAAAAAAAAAAGAAAAAAAAAAGAAAAGAAAAGAAGAAAAAAAAGAAAAGAAAACGAAGCCTCATCAGTCCTTTTGCCAGACCGAAGAGGGAGGTGACAGAGGTGTGTGTCGCCCAGGAGCAAGCAATGCAGCTTTGCAGCAACGTAGGATTGTCCAAGATGAAGATGATGGTATAGAGATTGAGGGACTACCGTTGGATGGCTGAGATTTCCGGATAGGCTAGATCTCCTGGGCCAAAGATGGGTGCTACAAAGGGGGGAGAAGGGGGGGGGGGGGGGGGG